TTGGCACCCATGTCTTCGACTGCATTGGCGCAGGTTCGGAGGTTCCGTCCCTAAATCTCTCTCTGGCCTGTAAGATAGTCCCAGCTTAATCAGTTGCACATCACCGTGGGGTGGCACGGTGGCTCAGTGGTTAGCACTGCAGCCTCACAGCTCCAGGGACCCGGGTTTGATTCCAGCCTCGGGCGACTGTCTGTGTGGAGCTTGCACATTCTCCCTGTCTCTGTGTGGGTTTCCTCCGGGTGCTCCGGTTTCCTTCCACAGTCCAAAGATGTGCAGATTAGGGTGGATTGGCCATGCTAAATTGCCCGTAGTGTACAGGAATGTGTGGGTTAGACGTGGGGAAATGCAGGGTTAGGGGAATGGGTCTGGGTGGGATGCTCTTCAGAGGGACGGTGTGGATTTGTTGGGCCGAATGGCCTATTTCCACACTGTAGGGATTCTATGATCTATGATCTATGATCTTTGGACTATAGGAGGAAACCCAGAGCGCCCAGCAGAAACAGAGAGAAAGTGCAAACTCCACACAGACGGTCAACTGAGGTTGGACCCTGGTGCTGTGAGGCAGCACTCTACCCATCATGCCGCTCACCTGCAAGTGTTGGTTTGGTTCAGTGGTTTCGTGTTGTCCTCTCTGAATCTAGACAGCATGGCTTCCAATCCAGGTCAAGGCTCACTGTTATAATGAGGCAAGATCCCCATGGGGCTCTCACCCTAGGAGATGAGGGGAAAGGAAGTGGGGTTTGTGAGAGTTTGGATAGGGGGGTGACCGAAATGTTAAGCCACACTGTGTTACTTTCAAACAGGAGAGAGAATGTTGCTTAGTTCTGGTTAAGTGTGGCGAGTTGCAGTTAATCAGTTTACAGCAAAAATTCAGTCTCCCCGAGGTCCTCTAAGAATTCCTATCTACTGCACTGCTTGTCATGCTCTCTGTTTCCTTCAACAGCAGGGATGCTTTGGAATTCTCTCCTGAGGCAAGTGTTTGAAATAAAACTAGGACAGAAGTTTATGAAGTGAAAGAACATATAGATTTAAACATTGCGAAACGAGTCACAAGAGGCATCCAAGTATGAGGGGAGCTGGGGAATCTTCAGTGAGTGATGCCTTCAGACAAACAACAAACAAAAGAGCTGGTCATTGACCTCAGGAAGTGGAGAACATGTCCCTGTCGGCATCAATGGTGCTGAGGTGGAGATGGTCAAGAGAGGCAAGTTCCTAGGAGTGATGATCACCCACATCGACGCACCCGTCAAGAAAGCACAGCAACACCCTACTTCTTCAGAGAAATTCGGCATGTCCACAAGGATTCTTACCAATTTTTATAGATGCAGCATAGAAAGCATCCTATCTGGATGCATCACAGCGTGATATGGCATCTGAGATAACAAGGTGTAGAGCTGGATGAACACAGCAGGCCAAGCAGCATCAGAGGAGCAGGAAAGCTGACGTTTCGGGTCTCGACCCTTCTTCAGAAAATATGGCATCTGCAGTTCCCAAGAGCCCAATAAACTACAGGGAGTCATGGACACAGCCCAATCCATCACGTAAACTAGCCTCCCAACCATTGACTCCATCTATACTTCCCACTGCCTCAGGAAAGCAACCAACATAATCAAAGACCCCTCCCCAGCCCGGTTATACTCTCTTCCACCCTCTTCCATTGGGCAGAAGACATAAAAGTTTGAATACACGTACGAATAGATTCAGAACAGCTTCTTCCTCGCTGTTAACAGACTTTTGAACGCACCTCTCAAACGTTAATTCTGATCTCTCTCTGCACCTTCTCTGCAGCTGTATTCTGCACTCTATTCTGCAACTCTGCTGCACTTTGTATGGCACGATCTGCCTGTATAACACGCAAAACAAAACTTTTCACTGTATTTTGATACATGTGACAACAGTAAATCAATGCATCAATACATCAAGTTGATTGATGTGTAAGGTAAAATGTTTTAAAGCTATGCACACTCATAAGGTCATTCTTATAAAAGACAGATGAGAAATTCAGATTAATTTTTGATGGGGAGAGAGAGTGTAAAAACAAACTCACGAGGTTGAGAATTGACATTTATTACTGGATCAGAGTCAAAGGAGCTTGAATCTGCATTGAAGGAGTCTGTTCTCATGTCCTCAGGACTATTTCGTGCTTGCATTTTGGGCCCAAGCCAAACATAAATCCCACCACCAAGGAATACTGAGCAACTAGGAGTTTAGTTTCCGTTCTTACCTCTTGGTTTTAAATCAATCAACTTTTGAACAATAAAATATTATGCCCATTGCTCGCTCATGAGCTGTTCCTCATCCTCTCCCTCTCTTAGCCTCCCCTTGTCCTCAGCACCAGCCCCCCACAACTCCCCCATCTTCTTCCACTCTCTGGTTCAGTGCGAGAGCTGTTAACAAGTTAGACTTAATAAGCATTGATAATCAAGAAATATTTTAATTACTTTGCATGGGATGTTCCCAAGGTCATTATCATGCAACACTGTTGAAGTGTAGTCAGATCTGAGGTGACGTTTTGGATGATTTATGTATTAAGTTGGCTAATTAACTTAATTGGTAAATTTTAATTGGAATTCAGTATTTGCTAAAAAGATTGCTGAACATTTTGATGCGACGAACCGTTGCATGTTACTCTCTCTCTATCTCTCTCTCTCCTTTTCTCTGCCAGTAAGATTTTTAGTTTTAACGTGACATCTTTCACCTCCTCTGCTTCAACTGTTTTACCAAATGACCGCCTCTGCTTTTTCAAGCTTGCATTTCCTTGATTTGATGTTTCACAGTTTCTGACATTGTTGAGTTTGCCGTTATCTAACAGTTATCCTTTCACCTGACAGATCTGGGTTAGGTCCCAGCTCAGGGATGTCAGGCGTGCAGACCTCTGCGTGTAGTTGCTCAAGGTCTCGAGGTAAATGTTGCCTCAAGCCCAGGAGGAAGGAGTCTACAATCTGCGCCAACCCCGCCATTTGCCCCTAAGTGCAAACAAATTGCAGTAAAAGGTCTCTTCTGAGGTTGAGGCAAAAATGTATTGTGTCAGACAATGACATCATTACTCTGTGTCTGGGAGTGTCTCATGGAGATAGCATAAGGGATGCTATACTCTGTATCTAACCCCATGCTGTCCCTGTCCTAGCAGAGTTTGATGGGGACAGTGATGAGAGAGCTTTACTCTGGATCCAAGGCTGTGTTGTGTCTTAACTCCGTGCTATATCTGTCCTGGGACTGTTTGATGGGGGCAGTGTAAAGGGAGCTTTACTCTATATCTAACCCTGCGTTCACCCTGTCCTGAAAGTGTTTGATGGGGGACAGTGTAGAGAGGGTTTTACTCTGTATCTAACCCCGTGGTGTCCCTGTCCTGGGAGTGTTTGATGGGGGACAGTGAAGATGGAGCTTTACTCTGTATCTAACCCTGTCCTTCCCCTGTCCTGGGAGTGTTTGTTGGGGGACAGTGTAGAGAGAGCTTTACTCCGTATCTAACCCTGTGCTGCCCCTGTCCTGGGAGTTTGGATGCACATTAGGTATTTGAATTGGGAAATGTATTCCATTTTCCACATTCTCTCAGTTAAACACAGGGATGAGCTCGAGGAAAGTAACGTGTTAATGTGGCTGTGGGTTCTCAAGGCTGATGTTCAAGCAATTGTTCAAAAAGAAGCTTCCAATTACGAACAGAAAATGTCATCTTCAGGTGAAGATGTCTTTTGCCTTGGAGACTTTAGGGATTTAATTAGTTGGTCAATGCTGAGACGGAGACCAAGTTAAGATCAGTTTGGTCAGAAAGTTTAACATTTGGAGAGTGTCTCGAGTGAGATGTGTGTTAGAATTCCTGACCCCCTTGCCCCCGACCTGCCCTTGAACCCAATCTGTGTTGTTTTGCTTTGACGTAATCCCATGTATAATTTTCTGAATTTTGTCTGAAGTCTGTGTGGGACGTGGCATCTTAGTTGGCACCTAATCACAAACCAGTCAGCACAATAAGAGGCCTATTATAGCCCCCTACACTGGCATCCTGGGTTGCCAAGGGCTGTTGGCCAATTAGACTACAAATTCTCAAAAGTCATGTCAACTTAATTCTCATCAGATGCCCAGACTCTTCATTTCCATCAATGCCTGTAACCCTCCTTCTAAATCCCTGCCTCGTGAAGTTCTGATCCCCAAATCACCAAATGCACAATCCCCAAATTTCTAACCGTCTTTCATCCTCTAATTCCTGACTCACTAATCCCCATCCCTATTCCCCAATCCCTGACTCACTGATCCACATCACCCATCCCAAATTCCCTGACTCACTAATGCTCATTCCCCATGCCCCAATCCCTGACTCACTAATTGCCATCCCCATCCTCCAATCCCTGACTCACTAATCCCCATCCCCCATTCTCCAATCCCTGACTCACTAATCCCCATCCCCCACCCCCCAATCCCTGACTCACTAATCCCCATCCCCCACCCCGCAATCCCTGACTCACTAATCCCCATCACCCATCCCCCAATCCCTGACTCACTAATCCCCATCCCCCATCCCCCAATCCCTGACTCACTAATCCCCATGCCCCATCCCCCAATCCCTGACACACTAATCCCCATCCCCATCCCCCAATCCCTGACACACTAATCCCCATCCCCATCTTCCAATCCCTGACACACTAATCCCCATCCCCATCCTCCAATCCCTGACTCACAAAGCCCACCACCCCCCAATCCCTGACTCACTAATCCCTATCCCCCAATCCCTGATTACCCTAATCCATGACTCAGCAATCCTGTAAACCCCACCTTCACACCCACCCCCCCACACCTCAAATCTTATTGGTCCCCTTGGATGGAATCTGAATCTTTATTTGGGATAACCGAAAACTAGCCTGGCCACTTCTTGAGTAAACGGTTTAAAAGTAGAACCGATGTTTTTAACCCATTTTTATAACATTAAGACCTTCTGGATTTGATAGTTATATTGTTAAGAGACGGACTCGATATATATTGACATTTACAACATTTCATTTCAATAGGACTGAGTCTGTTGCTGAGAAGATGCTGACTAATTGGTTTACCTTCCTGTTGTACAAGTTCCTAAAGGTAAGACTCTACCAATGTTATGTTGAATTGTGGTTTATATTAAGGTTAATATAAGGTTCTCTTTATTCTGTTACTGTCAAAGTATCTCTTCATTCTTCTCTTCCATCAGACATTCCTCTCTAAAACATATTGGCCTCTCAGTGGTTAATGCCCTGCTCCAAGGTTCCATCTACCATCTCTTTGCCCTTTCTTTCATCAGCATTTTTGTGTTTTAATATAGAACATTACAGCACAGGAACAGGCCTTCGGCCCACCATGTCTGTGCCACCCATGATGCCATTCTAAACTAATCCCATCTGCCTGCTCATGGTCTGCATGTGTCTGTCTCCTGTTTTGTATTTCTTTTTCACGTTCTGTTCACCTTCTGTTAGGTAAATTGCAAAATGGAAATATCAGGCAGAGTGCTCCTGTTTAAGAATTGATAAATGTTTTGTGACCTACTGGAGGAAGAGATGGAGAAATCTCAAAGTGGGCATTAATCTTTAAGAGGGGTATGGTTGGCTGTACGGCCTGTTTGTGATGCAGGGTGAAGCTAACGCCATTAAGCACCAGCTGAGGTTACTGTGAAGGACCATCATTCGCAACGTTACCCTCACTAGAGGCATGGTGATCCTCAAATTAAACCAGTCATCACTCTCTGTTGACAGCGCAGCTGTATGGTCTTGTAAGACAATAGTAACTTTACCTTACTTTTAATCTTCAATTTAATGCTGGAGACTCCAAGGCAGCTCGGAAAGCCTGGCAAAGTCTGGCTCCATCTATCTCAAAGTTGAAGGAGGCCATTCTGCCCATCTTGTCTGCGGCAGCTCTCTGAATGAGCAACTCACCCTGTGCCATTATGCTGTCTTCTCACAGTAACTCAGCGCATTGTTCCATTTCAATTGGCCATCTAATTTCCACTTGCATACCTGAGTTGAACCTAACTACACTACATTCCCTGGATTTCCATTCATGACCCTGAACCACTCACTGCATGAAACCGTTGCTCCTCATATCACTTTTACTTGTTTTATCAACTCCTTTAAATTGGTGCCTTCTCATTCTCAGCCCTTTCTCAAAGGGGAGTAATTTAACTTTAAATTTAACAGCAAAGGTGGGGTGGGGTGATGGTAGACCACCAATCCAAGGGCCCAGGCTAATGTTTTGGGGACATGGATTCAAATCCCACGACAACAACTGGAGGAATTTAAATTCAATTAATAAATCTGGAATTAAAAACTCATCTCACTAATGAAACCGTTGCCGATTGTAAAGTCAGAACCATCTACCTCTTGTACCTGGCAAATAGGAAGATGGTTGTGGTTGTGGGAAGTCAGTTATCACCGCTCAAGGACATCTCTGCAGGAGTTCCTCAGGGTAGTGTCCTCGGCCCAACCATCTTCAGCTGCTTCATCAATGACCTTCCCTCCATCATATGGTCAGAAGTGGGGATGTTCGCCGATGATTGCACAATGTTCAGCATCATTCACGTCTCCTCAGACACTGAAGTAGTGCATGTTCAAATGCAACAAGACCTTGACAATATCCAGGCTTGAACTGAAAAATGATAAATAACATTGACACCAAGCAATTACCATCTCCCGCAAAAGAGAATCCCATCATCACCCATCTACATTGAATGGCTTGATCACTGAATCACTCACTATCAACATCCTGGGGGTTAGCATTGACCAGAAATTGAACTGGACTCACCACATAAACACAGTGGCTACAAGAGCAAGTCAGATGAATCCTGTAGGAAATAACTCACCATGTGACGCCCCAAAGCCTGTCCACCATCTACAAGGCACAAGTCAGGAATACTCCCCACTTGCCTGGATGGGTACAGCTCCAACAAAACACAGGAAGCTTGACACCATCCAGGACAAAGCAACCCACTTGACTGGCACCACATCCACAAGCATCCACTCCCTCCACCACCGACGCTCAGTTAGTAGCAGTGTGTACTATCTACAAGATGCACTGCAGACATTCACCAAAGCTCCATCAACATACTTTGCAAACCTACATCCCCTGCTGTCTTGGAGGACAAGGGCAGCAGATACATGGGAACACCACCCCCTGCAAGTTCCCCTCCAAGACACTCATCGTCCTGAGTTGGAAATATATCGCCATTCCTTCACTGTCACTGGGTCAAAATCCTGGAATTTCCCTCCCTAATGGCATTGTGGGTCCACCTACAGCACATGGACTGCAGCGGTTCAAGAAGGCAGCTCAGCACCACCTTCTCAAGGGGCAACTAGGGACGGGCAATAAGTTCTGCCCTAATCTATGATGCCCACAACTCATAAACAAATAAGAAGGAAGCCCATTTGGTTCAGTAATGTGGTTTAGGGAAGGAAATTCATTGTCCTTACTGGGCTGGCCTACATGTGACTCCAGACCCACAGCAATGGGGTTGCATCTTCACTGCCTTGTCGTGTGGCGAGACCCTCAGTTCAAGGATGATTAGGGATGGGTAGTAAATGCTGGCTTTGCCACGACATCTACATCCCATGGGAGAGTGATAAAAAAAACCTAAACCACTTCAATGGCATGAAAATGAAGAAGTGAATTGGCAAAAACAGGAAAAGGGAGCACATTGTTTGTATGGGGGTGTTCGAGGGGGTGTGGTGGAGGATACATTGTGAGCTGGCAAGAGGCAAATCCAAATTGCAGCTCCTTAAGTTGTGAGCAAAGGGGTTGACATTAATGATTGGGAAGTGAATGCCGTGTCCCAATCTCGTTCATAGAATCCCTACAGTGTGGAAACAGGCTATTCGGCCCATCAAGTCCTCACCAACCCTCTAAAAAGCATCCCACTCAGACCCACCCCCTACTCTGGCCCTGTAATTCCCATGGCTAACCCACCTAGCCTGCACATCCCTGAACACAATTGACAATTTAGCATGGCCAATCCACCCTAACCTACACATCTTTGGATGGAACTGGAGCACCCAGAGGAAACCCATGCAGACACGGGGACAACTGACAAATTCCACACAGCCTGAGGGTGGAATCAGGCCCGGGCCCATGGCGCTATGTGGCAGCAGTGCTAACCACTGAGCCACTGCGCCGCTCATTATTGTAATTCCAAGGATAGAGCTGAGATTAGGTGTTGGAAAACAGAGAATCTGTCTCTCACAAGTCCCTAAAGTGCTTTCTTCATCAATAATGCACACCACAAGTGGCTGTTTGCTTTTAAGTTCTGTAACTTGCCACATCAATGAGTGGAAGAGAATAAATTGCATCTATGCTAACTGGCTTTTGCTGAAATGCAATGTGCTGTCCAAATAACATATATTTAATGGGAGATAGTGACCATTGCTTTATAAATAAAATAATAGGATTGCTTTGTATAGAAGGTCTAATTTTCCAAAGCTCTCTGTACATCCAAATGAGGCATCAATTTCAAAGGAATAAATTGAATTATTAGAATTTTATTTCCCATTAAACTTTGTTCAAAGCGGAGAAGAAGGATCATTTATTTTAAAGGCATTCGATATTTCTGTTACATTTGGAACGAAGCAAATGATGCAGCCACAGGGTGTAATAGAATAGAGAAGCTAACGTTATGTTGGGCCTCAGGTGTCTCCTCTCAAGCACTGGTTGGGTGTGTGAGTCTGTGCAGGTCTCAAACCATTTTCATGCAGACGTTTCGTCACCTTGCTCGGTAACATCATCAGTGGAGCCTCTGATGAAGCGATGTTATTCTACTCCACTTGGGATTTATACTGTCCAGTCCATTATGGTGAGTAGTGTCATTTCCAGTTTTGTTCTATATCGGTTTGTATATGGGGTCC